AGCTGTGCCTGGTCCACTGATATAAAATTATACTCTGGAGGTGAGACCTCAGGCCATAATGGAAACTAAAAGCCCTCCATCTACATAACAGCCTTTACCTCTTTTGCAAGCCTCCCACCCTTACTTGTAGCCTGCCTGGTATTTGAAATTCCCCAGGCAGTTTCTCATTCACATTTATAAGGGAGGAACTCTTTCCCTAGCAGCCTTTAAAGACAGGCCACCCTGTGGGCTCACTCCCAGAGCTGATCATACTGCTTGAAAGCAAAGAAAGCGTAATGCATTACTCTTATGTACATGTATATAGGAATGGGAGGCAATTGAAATTCCTGTACAGAGAGGCTCACCAAAGGATGAATAAGAACAATCAGGATTAAGGAGGCTTTTTGTTGTTCTTGTTGTTGAAGAGGTGAACAGAATAAGGTGTGTCTTTTTATACCTATAAACTTCAAAGGACGCTGAATTTAAAGGGGACTAGGACCTTGAGGTAGTTCAAGTGGCACAAAAGGGATTTTGCTACAAAAAATGCAAGTGATTTGAAAGAACAGAAATACTCTGACTAGTACTACCTAACACTTCCATTCAGAGAGGGATAAATACAATTTTCATTGTAGCTTGATGGGTTTTATCTAACAAGGAAATAGTTTGGCAAAGTGTTTAGTAAGCTTGCTATAATAGCCAGTGGTATCAGGAAACCTGGATTGTATTTTCAGCTGTGCCACTGACTCACTATGTGACCTTAGACAAGTGACACTTGCCTGGGACTCAGAATGGAGCCAGTAGCATCCACCTTCCTGCTTTAGAAATGTGCAGCTCTATACTTTGTTTTCTTTGGATGTCATTCTCAGCAATGTATACAGACATATTCTTTGTATCAATCATTTTCTATTAACTACAGGCCAATGCTATAGCCCAGGGGTGCCCAACCTGTAGCACAACTGCCACAGGCAGCCTCCATGTATAAATCAAAAAGGGGACAAGCAACAGTGGCAGATAGGCACGGACCTACTGAATTCAGGGCAATTTTGCAGGCAGAAAACAGGGCCCCCATGCCACCAATAGGCTGCAAGGGCAGCCTGTC